ATCAATGATCACTGCACCCCAGTGTCTTTCTGAACGTTTACGCTCGATAATTTATTTTAATTTTACACTGATGTTACTTATCAAACTATTCATCTCGGCAGAAGTTCGGTAGATGACCCAGACATATTTTGATTTCATCATATTCACCTCAACCATCCTACGGGACGTGTCAAGCACTTGCTTTTATCCCGTGATAAATCATTGTTCATTGTTCATCATCTAGCAAGGAGCAGCTGTGCACTGACCGCATGAGGGAAAGATGGTCGCAAGACGAGAGCTAAGAAGGTCGAATAAAGAAAGGACAACAGACAAGAAGAATGCAAGCATACAGTTAGTTGATTAAGGGAGGCATATCATATAATGCTGAACCACGGCGGTGTATAAGTACACGATTTATGCTATGGTGCTGGGATACTACTACTTTGGAGAGAATCTGGGAAAGCTAGTCCAATAAGCTGGTCGCTCACAGGTGAAATGTCGAAGACGTTACAACAATTAAGAGATATGAGAACGTCTAGAATAGAGAGGCTAAGGAGCGTCTGAGCACCGACTTGAAGAATTGGAAGGAGTGCTAGATAAATCTGAAAAGTTTATATGGAAGGACATCAAACAGTCGGAGTGCATGCATACATTAAGTCCGCTGAGGACATCGCAGCATATGAGTCAGAGGCGCGCAGATACTGAGTCCTGTTATCGTGCTAAGATTTTAGTGCTAAGGCAGACTGGGCTGGAAAATGCCAGTGAAGATCTGGAATCCTTCATGAGCAGCCGTCACAGACGTTGCAGCAAGCAACGGATAAGTGGATGTTTACAAGGGCGAGGCAATGTAGCAACTGTGCGCAGGCCATATGAGTTATGTTTGCTTCACAGAAGAGAGTTAAGCAAGTTTTGATGAAGAGAAGACAGCGAACGGATGAAGCGCAAGCATACGATTTGGTAGTTAAGTAGTTCAGAGCTTAAAAGGCAAAAACGCGGCGACGCGCAGATGATGAAATCATGCCGTGGTGCTAATGTAATAAAATTATGGAAGCCTGAGCAGGGAGAAGCCGGTGAGAGGGCTGAACTACAAGTGATCAGCTGTCACAGTCGAGTAAGTGACGGCTGAGCGTCAAGCAAGGAGCGAGTAAGGAATGAATGAGCGTCTAGAATAGAGAGGCTAAGAAACAGCTTTGGGCAGACCACATGAGTTTTGTTTGATCTGCAGTCACCTGCAATGCGTTTCATCATTACTTTGCATACCGATAACTTACATTCGGCAGAGAACGCATTCATACGTATCCTCACCATGATACGATGCGCAATTTTGATGGAACCACCTTAAGGAGACATCGCATCCACGCCTTCCAAAGTCCTATTCCTGCAGACACAATTCACAAGCAGTTGTTGGAATCTGGCAACAGTGGCTCAGAGGCAGCGTGAGGTAGCAAGGCAATGGGCAGCAC